TAAGTAACATAAATATCTGTACCCCCATAATATGCTGAAATAAAAAGAAAAAAAGAAAAAAATAATGTGTAACATTACTAAGTATTATCTTATTAAGGCATATTTAAAAATCAAAAGGCTGCATTATGTTCATGAAGTCAAACTGATGAAATATTAGATGATTTTGTGCTACCTGGGGATACAATTATCTTTTATGTCCCCTCATAATGGAGACTTGGTTGCCTACCTCAATAACCATTTGCTCTTTCCTCCTCATTGACAAAACCCTAATTTTATTTAGATGTGTATGTGGAGGAAAGAGGTTTCTCAGTCTTCCTTCCAGCTGGGTTTGGTCATCCAATTAAAATTTGGCCAATGGGCTACAAGCAGAAGTGCTGTGTGGTATTTCTGGGAAGCTTTGTTAATCAGGAGAGACCACACTTATCGTTGTATGTCTTCCTTTCTGCTGCCTAGAAAGCGTATTTGATTGTTGGAGTTCTGGATAGCTAACTGATCCTTCAGAAGTGAATAGAGACTTTCTTGCTACAAGATCTGGAATTGGGAGGTGTTATATAGGAAGCGGGTAGGATCCCAGACAAAGGAGCCACAGTAAATACTTCTAATAAATCTCTTTAGAATAGTCAGAAAAAAAACAGCGTTTTGAGTGAACTTAGGACAGCTTTATCTCAACTGAACACATGGATTTTGGCCTCAGCCATCAGTGCATGTCAGTCCCCAAATAACAAACCAAGAAATTGTATTATATATACTGACAAACACTTTTCCTTGAGAAACTTTGTGACTTTTGCCTTATAAGTATCGCCCTTGCCTTTGAACTTAGAGACAGTCTTCACAGAGTTACATAAATCCCTGTGAACTAAACTAAAATCTTAAGGCTCCCTCCCCCCAAACCGCTGACTGAATGAACCTCCTCTTGGCCAAGGGAATACCTTAAAATTGAGTTGATATCCACTAGAAGGGAGGTCAGACAAGCCTAATCATGCCCCTCCTTGTAGATATCTTTTGTAACTCATTAACAGGCCTAAAGCTATATAAGACAAACCTATAGGTCCTCAATTTAATAATAAATCACTGAGTCTGGGAATGTGTCCCCTGGCTTGTCTCTAATTAACAGATTTCCTTATCTTAACTTAAAATATTTCTAACCTTTAGACAAAGCTTCATTTCTTTAACCAATTACAAATCAAAGAGTCTCTAAACCCACCTATAACCTGTAAGCCCCCTACCCATGAGATACTCCACCTTTTGGGGCCAAACCAATGTATGCTACCTTCCATGTATTGATTTATGTGTAACTCCTATCTCCCTGAAATGTATAAAACCAAACTGTAACTCAGCCACAGCCAGTCCACTTGCTCAAGGCTTCTTGGACTTGGCTCTGGGCCATGGTCCTCAAATTTGGCTCACAATAATTGTCTTTAAATTATTTTACAGAATTTGGCTTCTTTTCAATTGACATCCCCAATCCTTGAAATGAATGGCTCTGAGTTATTCTTTGACAGTTAATCTGCAGAAGTCTGACTGCTCTATGTTGGATCACGTTCTCCCTTACCCAACACTCAATGTCTCAGCATCTTTATGTATTTTTGGTGGTTGTTGTTGTTTTATTTTTTTATCACAGGAAAGCTTGAGATAATTAAGTAAGTACAGTATTATAAATAATTCTATGTGAGAAAGAATGATTAATAATGTTTGAGACCATGGTAGATACATTTCTTATGCTATACTTCATGCTGAGTTGGTAATTATTTTGCATAAGTATTTGCACGTTTCCTTATGTGCCAAAATTAAATTCTAAATGCTTTTATACTTGTTCATTTCATTTTGGTTTTGATTTGGGACGCATACCACAAAAAAAGACGTTCTTACTTGTAGCTTTAGAGTACATGGCTTCAATAATTCTAGAATTTTAGATCTAATGAAATCCATTAGAGAATATTATATAAAAGAAAGCATGCTAAAATTTGATATACAGAATTCTTATATTGCATTCCAAATTGTGAAAGTAGACTCAATTTTTCTGTTCATTACACTGATTCAATTTTGAGCTATTTATGCTCACAGATATGGAAAGCATTGCTTTAAAATCTGACTGTAGTTTAATATATGGTACTATACATTTTTCACAATTAATGTGAAAAAATTATTTCAAGTCCATTTAGGTAAAATCTATAATTACAAAGCAGCCACTATATCAAGAGGAAGCAAGGGATTGGAAATCTAGCAGAATTGTTAACTGAAGTGTTTTTAGCAATACTAGCATTTCATATCTACAGAGAAATTAACATAAAATACCTACGATTGTCATATTCCTTTGGTATTTATAATATTCCCTTATAGCTTCACATATTAATTCATGTTTTATTGTTTACTAATGCAAAATGTGAAAGCAAGATTTCAAATGCTCTAGTTAAACATGAAATTTGCATTCAATAAAACAAATGCAGTGAGAAGAAATGGTTTCTTCTGTAACAACTTTTTTCATAGAATAACCATTGAAGGAATCAAATATCATAGATGCAATTTTTATAATCTCCCAAAAGTATTGTCTTAAACACAATTTCACTTTTGAATAATAAACTATACTCATTTTAATATTAGCAAGATCTGCACAAGCACTTTAATGGTATCCGATGATGTTAACATTAGGAATTCCTATTATCAAAATTGCCAAATTCTTGTCTTTTGATACGTTTTGCAACTAAAAGGATGATAGTGATGTTGTCAAGCATTACACAAAGACCAAAAAAGGTGTAAAACAAACTAACTTAGTAGTAATGGTCAACATAGGCTTGCACTTCATTAGTAGAGATCTACATTATTTTTTTCTCTGCCTGACTTACTTTAACCTTGGTAACATTATTTTTAATTATACTTCACTTTAGATAGTGATTATATAGTTTACAACAAATGAACAATATAAAGCAAGCAATCTTTTAAAAACCTGACTTCTCTATTCAGAAGTCAAAGTTCCTTTCTAAACTAAGTAGACCTCATAAAGTAGGTGAAATGCATTTAAATATTGTTGATCCTCATTATCCATAAATTCCTTATTTGCAAATTCGCCTACTCACTAAAATTTGTTAAGTCCAAAATCAGTACTCATGGCGCTTTCACAGTGTTCAAAGACAGACATGCACAGAGTGGTGAAAAGTTCTAGTCACTAAATGTGCTAGTTCCCAGCTAAAGGCAAACAAAGTAAACAGCGGCCCTTCCTTTTTCAGTCCTTATACGTGTACAAGGATGAAGTAGGGGTAGAGACAATAGTGGAAAGTGCAGGGTTATGTGAGAAGCTCCAGCTCTGGGTCCTGGTGGAGAGGGTTTGAATCTCTTCTCCTCTGTCAGTGGGGTGGCCTCAGAAGAATCATTTAACACTTCTGAACCTCTTTTGCTTTTTGTAAGATAAAAATATAGAATTTACCAGGATGGGTTATTTTTAGGATTTACAATTATAATCAATGTGATTATATATATTTCTCCTAGGAACACTGGTTCAGTCCTCACTAATTGAGTATGTGTGGCAACTTTATAGAACATAGCTACTATGAATAATGAAAATCTGCTTTATTTAATCAAGTGCATATTTATTCAATTTTCATGCACATGAACCTAGAAACATATAAACCTATATTTGAATAAGAGTATGAATAATGTAAATTAAACATTTTTAATAAATGAAAACTATTGTGTAATTATATAACAAGTTTCCTTGAGTACTAATTTCTTAGAACTTTTTCTCAGATACTTATAAAAATATAGACACTTACTCATGTTTCATGTATTGCCCAGATTCTGTTAATTGTGATGGCAAAGAGACAAATGTTGAGGATTCCACCAAAATGATCCTGAAAAAAATGAAGAAGAACTATTTTCAATCTATTGCAACAAAATTCAGGTGACCACAAAAATTCTTCTTTTATTTCTTCCCATCAATCATAAAGTATAATTAGAATCATAATAAACTACAATTTTAAAAGTTCATGTGCTCTCATTCTGCAACTCAAAACATATATGGTAGAAAGGAGAGATCTGAAATGGAAATATGTGAAACATAGTATCCTTTTTATATGGAATAGTAGCACTTAATTCTCACAGCACAGAAATTTAGAACATAAATGCTCAAATTATATTCCAAAGAGGAAAGCACACAGTTTTTAATGCACAGCCTGAGCTGTACACATTTCATAATTTCTAATCCTATTTCCAGAAAAGAAAAATGTTTCTTCCAGGGGTGGACATGAGATGTGCGTAGCTAATTAATTAGTACGTCAATAATTATGCCATCTTCTGGAGTCACATAGCAATGCAGACCCTCTTATATGATAATGCTCATACGTTTAAGAAATAGTTATAGAGCAGTGGTACCCAACCTTTTGGGACCAGGAACTGGTTTCATGGAAGACAATTTTTCCACAGACTGGCGGGGCGAGCAGTGGAGCTCTTGTGGCCTGGTCCCTAATATGCCACAGACCGGCACCGGTCCCTGGCCCCGGGTTTGGGGACCGTAGCTCTATACTATATAAGCAACAAAATCACTGGTCAAAGTTTTCAAAATTAGTTTTTTAAGAACTCTGGTAATACAAGAGAGGCTTGCAACAATCTGAGTAGTGTTTATTCAAGAAAAACTGCCAAACTTTGGTAAGATCAATAGACTTCGTTGCATTGTAACTTATATGTTGTAAATCCCATCCTCTTCTTGATAGCCCGAAGTAGTTTTGCAAACTGGCAGCCTTGCAACTACGAGAGGGGACAAACCAAGATTGGACTTCTTTTAAAAAGTTCCATTCCTGAGTATTGTTGTTATTTGACCTGTCTTGAAGGTACCTGGAAAACCTCAATTTGCAAAGTGTTCTCTTTATGTGACCTGTCTTAAGGGAAAACACCTACCACCCCAGCATGCTTGTTGAAAACAATTAGCAGCAATTTTTTGTGAGGTTGCTATAGCAGCTGGGTCAAACAAGAGCCTGAAAAAACATAAATGGAACATTTGGGGAACAAGATGCCCGTGTGTGGGATTAAACTAACTTGCCAGATTTTCAAAATATGTCAGAGATCTTTAACCCTGCATATGGGATACAATGATGTGTCACCAAATAGAGAATATTAATTAAAGAAATAGAAATGATACAAAAGAACCAATTATAAATTCTGGACTTGCAAAATACCATACCTGTTATAAAAATTACGACAGGGCTCAACAGCAGGTTTGAGCTGGCAAAAGAACCAGTGCATTCAAAAATGCCAATTAATGTTATTCATTTTGACAAACAGAAAGAAAAAGAATGAGAAAAGTTAATGAACCTCAGATGCCTATGGGGCACATTTAAGATTACCAACACAAGCCTAGTGGAAATCTCTAAAAGACAAGAGAATGAGAAAGAGGTAAAAAGAATAATTGAAAAATAAAGGATGAAGACTTCTAAAATTGTGTGGAAAGCATTAATTTATACATCCAAGTAGCACAGAGAATTCTTTGCAGGATAAACTCAAGGCAATCTGTGCAGAGACAATGATATTCAAACTGTTAAAAGGCCAAGATATAGACAATCTTGTAAGTAGCAAGACAAAATTGGCTCAACACCTGCAATGGCTCCTTAAAAAGATTAATAGCTCATTTCCCATCTGAAATGCTGGAGCAGAGGGGCTAATGGAATTTTATTTTCAATGTGCTGCAAGAAAAAAACTATCAATGAATAATAATGCACACAGCAAAACTGTCCTTCAAAAATGAAGGAAAAATTAAGGTATCCCAAAATAAAAACTGAAAGAAGCATTGCTGGGAGAACTGCTGTACAAGAAGTACTAAAGGAAGTCCTTCAGCTGAAAGTAAAAGACTCTAGAAGTTAATTCAAAAGCACATGAGGTAATAAGAAACACCAACAAAGTTAACTACATGGATAAATATATACAACAAATAAGCTATAAATATATTTTGTTTGCAATACTTTTAATCTTCTTTCTCATTTAAAAGAAACAGGGTAAGAAAATAAATATAAAACTGTTTTATGGGATTATAACGCATAAACATGTAATTGGTATAACAATAATAACGGCAAAGAAGGGCTAGGAAAAGGAGATATATCGCAAAAAGTTTCCGAATTATATTGAAATTAAACTGGTATTAATATGAGCTAGATTGTTTTAAATTAGGATGCTAATTGCAATCTTCAGGGTAATAAGAATATAACTGGAAAAATATAAGGTAAAAAGAGGAATTAAAATTGTTTACTAAAAATAATTATTTTTAAAAATCAGGCAATAATGGAGAAAGAGATGAACAAAGACATAAGACATATAGAAAACAAGTATAAAATTACAGACATAAATTCTACTATATCAGAGAATATATTATATGTAAATGGATTAAACAGTCCAATCCAAAAGCAGAAATTGACAGAATGGATAAAAGAGACAAACATTGGATTCAAAGACACAAACAATTTGGGAGTAAATGATTTAAAATGGTGTACCATGAAAACAGTAACAAAAAGAGAGCTGGAGTGGCTATACTAATTTCAGACAAAATAGAATTTCAGGCAAACATTGTTAAAGCATGACACCATGAGAGCTCCTTGGACTCACACTCCAGGAAAATGAGTAAAAACTATAAAAAATAACTTTCAAACTGTCTAGTTATGGTTTTAAGGCATACAGCAAATGAATAAAAATATATTCAACAAAACCTACTAAAATTTAGTAAGCAAACCAGTAGTTTGGTATTTGAACCAAGAACAATACCTTCCTCTTCCTTCTCAGCTCAGCAAGAAAGAAACTTTACTTCAGCCTGCTACTGCCAAGAACACAGGGCCCCCTCCTCCCCTGGCTCCCATTTGAAGAGCTACCTTTCTGCAAGGGGTAGGACATTAATGTTTCTTATCCTAACCTTAGTATGTTGCTGAGGCTAGGATCTGGGCAAGTGCGGTTGAGAGGAGCTGAGCCCTTCTATATAGTCCCCACTCATGGACAGAGGCTCTAACATGAGTATGGCACTGCTGAGAATACTGGGACCTCAATTACCCCTTCCTCAGCTTAAAAAGTGGTCATTTAAAACTGGGAGAAGCAAGCCAAGAAATTCTGAGGCTATTGCCACTTCTCCGACTTGGCACTCAGCTCATAAAGTGTAGGATTTGCTCAAAGAAGTGCACCATTGTCTGCACCTCTAGCTCCAGAGTCACGGATCAGGCATTTTCCCCAGGGAAAAAAGGCCTTAAAACAGATAGCTTCTAATCTTTTCCAAAAAGAACTGATTTTGTTTTCAACAAAGTGTTCAAGTCAAAGCATACTGTCAAAAATAATGCAGATTATGGTGAAAGACAATTGGGAGGAGATCTGTAGATTTAAGATACAAGCTAAACTGTAGACCTGCTAGTTTGCTGGAGAAAACTGAGAAAAGCGATTGCTAAAAGGAGTTCTTCTGGAGTCACTACAAATCTTAAACACTGACTTAGAAAACAATTTTTTCAAAGGAGTCTGAATTTGATAGGATTTGTCTAAAGAATAATATATGCCCCCACCTCGAGGCATTGGAATTAATGGAATTTAACTAATGAATGTGGTAAGGAAATGAGAGTCAAAGGAAGCCCTGTCAAAACCACTGTCATCCAGGTTGAATGTGGACATACCATACCCAAGGCTGTGTCATTGGACAAGCAACATCAGAGGCTTCACGCTGTGTGTATAGGTTTGGGCAGGGGGAGATAGGCATCACTAAAATATTCCAGTCAGTCAGTAAAATGTTAGAAGAGCAAATAATATTAACAAGACTGGGGGAGAAGGGACCAGTATCTAGAATTGTTAAAACATATTTTTTAAAATGTTCAGTCTACTTCATAAAAAACATGAAACATGCAAAAAAAAAAAAAAGAAGAAGAAGGAAAAAAGAAGAAAAGAAGAAGGAAACGGAAACTGCCTGTTAGGGCAAACCAGATATCAGATTGAATAGAAAACAAATTCAATATAGCCAGTCTGAATGTCTTCAAAGAATAAAGGAAACTATGAGTAAAGAAGTAAAGGAAGATATGATGACAATGTAACATCAAATAGAGAATATTAACAAAGAGATTGAAATTATAAAAAACCAAATGGAAACTCTGGAGTAGGAAAAACTACAGTAACTAACTAGAGGGTTCAACAGCAGATTTGAACTGGCAGGTAAAAAGAATTAACAAACTTGAAGACTGATAGAGATTATGCATTCTGAAGAACAGAGAAAAATGAAGAAAAATGAACAGAATCTAACATATATGTGTTAGGTACACAGTTAAGCATAACAGTATATGTATGGTAGAATTACCTGAAGGAAAGAAGACAGTGAAAGGAAGAGAAAAAATGTTCAGAAAATGAAGTGGGTTAAACTGAAGCTAGGTTAGGCTATAGAAATTACTTCAAATGGTAACATGAAGTCATAGTAACAAATAAACAGAAATAATAAATAGGAAGGCTAATATAACAGAAACTATAGATATATATTTTCTATTTGCTATGGGCTGAATTTTATCTCCCTCAAACTTCGTGTGTTGAAGCTCTAATCCCCAGTACCTCTGAATTTGTCTGTATTTAGAGATACGGCCTTTAAATAGATGACTAAGTTAAAATGAGTCGTTCAGGGTAGGTCCTAATCTAATCTGAATAGTGAGTATCCTTATAATAAGAGAAAATTTGAAAACATAAAGAGACATCAGGATGCACACACAGAGAAAAAAAAAGGCCATATAAGAAGACAGTCATCTACAAGCCAAGGAGAGAAGCCTCACAAGAAACCAAACTTGCCAACATCTTGATCTGGGACTTTCAACCTGTAGAACTGTGAGAACATAGATTTTTGTGGTGTAATCCACTTGATCTGTGGCATTATTTTGTTATGGAAGTCCTAGCAAGCTAATATATTTTCCTTTCTTCTCTCAGCTTTCTTGAAATAATACAAATTATATAAAACAATAATTATAGCAATATATTGTTGGGTTTGTAACATTATCGATGCTATATGTATGATAATAAGAGCAGAAAAAGGGAAGAAAAGGAATACAGCTATATAAGAGTAACATTTTGTGAATCTCATTGGAATTAAGTTAGTATATATCTGAAGCTGATTATGATAAGTGAAGATGTCTATGGTAATCCCTAGTGCAATCACTAAGGAAACAAATCTGTAAATACATTGAAAAAGTCATTAAAGAAATTAAAATCCTACATTAGAAAATATGCACTAATGTAAAAGAAAGAAGTCATGGCAGAATAGAGAAACAAAGAAAGGACACGAAACAGAAAATCAAATGGAAATTGGCAAAAGTAAATCCCACTATGTCAACAATAACAAAAATGTGAATAGATTACACAACCCAATCAACAGGCAGAGACTAATGTGGTATATATATGCAATGGAATATTATTCAGACTTAAACAATAGAGGAAGTCCTGCCATTTATAGCTACATTAATTAACCTGCAGGACATTATACTAAGTGAAATAAGCCAGTCACAGAATGACAAATACTGCATAATTCCACTTATATAAAGCATCTATAATAATGAAACTAAAAAAAAAAAAGTAATCAGACTCACAGAAGTGAAGAATATCACAATGGTTGCCAGGGGATAAAGGTTTGGGGAAGTGGACAGTTGGTCAATAGGTATAAAGTTTCAGTTATGGTAGATGAATAAATTCTAGACATCCCGTGTGTAACATAGTACCTATAGTTAGTAATACAATATTGTAAATTTCAAAATTTGTTAAGGGGGTAGATATCATGATAAGTGTTCTTACCATAAAAGTAAAACAAACAAAGCATTACAGAGCATGAAATAGGGGTGTTTTCCAAAAGAAGAATTTGACAACCACTAATATGACAGATAGACATGGGAGTCAGCAACCTGGCCAGCTAATCCTGCCTATGTTAAATAATACCAACTAGATTGTCTTATTTGTTAAAAGTAATGTGTAATTTTTATGAAAAATAATCAAATCTGGTCACTATGATGCATACAATTTTGGGTAATATATGTAGAGATTTTTATTTTATTTTGAAGTATGTTTAATATGAGACCGCTAATAATCAAGTCTGATCAGTTTTGTCAGTGTAACATTAAAAACTAGATCACTTGTTATACTGGTTAAAACTTAAAAAGATTCTCCATATGAATTAATTAGCATTAAAATTCCTTTCTTATTCATTCTACTTCATTATTTTAAAATTTCAAATGTAATAGATGTCTATCATAAAATAAAGATTTTACAAATTTTGTGACTGGTTTTCAATTTTTTAGGTTATTTTCCCATTGCCTAAGTTTGAGGGCTGTATTTATACAAGGAATGATGGATTCAAAATCCTCCAATTAACAATCTTTCTCCCTACAAAATCACACACCATTCAAAAGAATTAGCCATTTTAATTCAATCTGAGGTAAACCATAAAGACGTATCAAAATATTACTGTTTTCTGAGATACATATATAAATATTCTTCCAATTCCTGAAATATCCAGATTTCCCTTCAGCTTTAACACTAAAATGAAAGACTGCATTTGTTTGATTATGTTTTTCTGTAAAGAAATTTGGTTCATTTAAGACAGTCAGTCATTTGGTTCATTTCACAGAATACTTTAATCCTGGATTCTGACATTCTGTGTTCCTAACAGTCCAATATAACATGTTAATAAAATTACAATAAATAAATTTCTCCCTCACATGCATATGGAAACCACAAGTTCTCCAAA